ATGTCTAAGAGATTGGGGTCATATACTAGAGATTGAAGATAGCGGAGCTGAAGACGCTGATGATGAGGGGGAGGACTAGACAAATTGGCTATCAGCTATACGTTTATTTTTATATTAGGCAATTTATAGATTTTGAGCCTCAATATCCTGAAGATCCGGATATAACCCGTATCTATCCGTCAAATGTTGGCCGGATCATGATCCTATCCGTGACAGCTGCGGATCAGATCTGGATACGATCCGCCGAACACTGGGGGGCGTTCGCATATCACGACTCATAAACGGACGTGAACGAATGTAAATAGAGCACAAGCCAATAGGGTCCATGTGAGAAAGGATAGAGCTTTTAAGCAGAGCTTCGAATCTCCTCTCCAGGTTGACTCCCCGCACCCACAGGTCACCATATGGAGAAGGATGGGGAGAAGGAACACCCCATTTTTTGGACCCACCCAAACCAAGAGCACGGTCAAGCATTAATAGTGCTCTGGGCAAAGAGCGGCACTTATGTCTACGTAAGCGGTCCGCTGACATAATTCATCTCGTCGAGAAAGCTCCTAGATAACCCTAAATATACTTTGTTCAGGGGCGAGATGCCTTTTTCCTAGTGGTACCGGCACTTGTTTCAAATAAAACCAAATCAGATATAATGAACAGACTTATTGGCTAACTAGAGGACTCTAAGAGGTTGTTTCTGTGGTAGCCAGGGAAAATCCGTTAGGATGCAATAACTTTCGGAAGTTCGCCGACTTAAATCGGGCCGCTATAAACTTACGGAGTAAACGGAGGGGATCGGCCTGCCTTCGCCCGGCCTTTTCCGCCTACGCAAACCGTTGCCCCACCTCTATTCGGAGATACGAGATCTGCCCGCCATCAGCCACGCCTCGACAGAAGCAGCAGTGATCTCTCCCCCAGCCTCGCATCCCCCCTCATTTCCCCCACATTTCCGTTTATCGTATCCCTCGATGCCATCGGTCCTGCCCGAGTCCACGACAAACCTTGGTGGTTATCCCAAGATGACCTGACGGAATATCACCCAATGCGACACCAAAGATCGTCTGAGACACATCTTACCGCATGAGGAGGTGCCGGTATAGCCGGTGAACGACTTCGCCGACCGTCATGGGGCGGAGTGTGTGAACGCGGGGGCGCATATAAGCTCTTTGAGGATTCCCTGCGCTGGTTGTTGTTTGCGCATAACTTGCCCAGCCGCACTTTAATTCAATTTTGGGTTTCAGAACACACCCTCCCACCTCGATAAAATGATCTTCACCAAGCCACTAGCGGGCGCGGCATTGCTCCTGTTCGCCGCTGAGTCTGCCGCTGCAGCGGTTATACGGTCGCATGCCGTTGGGGGATGCGGGATTGTCCAAGACTTTAAAGGGGATACCAAGACAGGGGAGAGTATTGAGAGTGACAAGATACTCCGGACATATGATGTTTATCT